ATCACAAAATTGAACTTGAACCAGGAACAAAAGCTCCTGCACAAGCCTCGTATTAAATGGCTCCGTCGAAGTTGGCAGAATTCAGGAGACAACTTGATGATTTACTTGATACAGGTTTCATTTCGCCTTTGAAAGCTCTCTATAGTACCCCAGTTCTATTTCAGAAAAAGCATGATAATTCCACGAGGATGTGTGTGGATTATCGTGCCCTGAATAAGGTGACGGTGAAGAACAAATATCAGGTACCTAATGTTACTGATATGTTTGATTGATTAACGAAGACTTCACCAAGCTGGATTTATAGTCGGACTATTAGTAAGTTAGAATAGCTGAAGGGGATGAATCAAAGACTACCTACTTAACGAGGTATGGTTCTTTCGAATTTCTGGTTATGCTCTTCGATTTTAAGAATGCACCTGCTACTTTTTGCAACTTGATGAATGATGTGTTGTACGAGTTTTTGGACGATTTTTTAGTCGTATATTTAGATGATATTGTGATATACAGTTGATCACTGGGTGATCATATTGTCCACTTAAGGAATGTGTTCTCACGACTTAGAGAACATCAATTGTATGTCAAGAAGAAAAATGTGAATTTTGCCGTTCGAATGTTATGTTTTTGGGACATTGGGTTGGTCAAGGAAGAATTAAAATGGATGGAAAGAAGGTGAAGGTTATCATGGACTGGCCAAGTCCATCCAAGGTTGCTGAACTACGTTCTTTTCTTGGATTAGCAAACTACTATCGAATTTTCATTCAAAGTTATTCCAAGAAAGTGAACGCCTTAACGGATTTATTGAAGAAGGATCAGAAATGGGAATGGTCCGATGAGTTCCAACGAGCTTTTGAGAAGTCAGAACAGGCTGTTTCAACTTAACCGGTGTTGCAGTTGCCTGACTTTGAGAAACCGTTTGAGGTAAACACTGATGCATCCGATCGTGCTATTGGGGGTGTACTGGTACAAGAAGGCCATCCGATTGCTTATAAAAGTCAGAAATTGAAAGAGACGGAACAACGATATTCAATTCATGAGAAAGAGATGACGGTGGTTGTTCATTATCTTGGGACTTGGTGACATTATTTGTTAGGAACAAAATTCATTATTCTAACAGATAATGTAGCGAACACATATTTTCGGTTTTAAAAGAAGTTGTCGGCAAAACAAGCGAGATGGCATGAGTTTTTGGTTGAGTTTGATTTTGTGCAGGTTCACAAGCCACATAAGCAGAATCAAGTTGCCAATGCACTCAGTCGGAAACATGTGAAAGCTTACGTATCGGCTTTGATAACAGTCGAATCGGATTTTCTTGACTGACTCAAACAATAGGCTGAAAAGGATGTTGCTTATATCAAGTTGTTGAGGAAATTAAAGATAGCTTGGTAAGACGGTGTTGGATTGAAGATGGTTTGATCTATGCTAAAGGCAGCAGATTATATGTGCCTTCAGGTGGGGGACTAAGGTAAATATTGTTGAAGGAAGATCATTATCCACTATGTGCAGGCCATCCGGGTATCGAAAGGATGTTGGCTTTGCCCTCGAAATCGTATTACTGGTCGAAGATGGGTGACGAGGTAGAGGTGTATGTGAAATTTTGCTTGGTGTGCCAGCAGGATAAAACATAAAGGAGGAAAGAGGCAGGTTTGCTCTAGTCTTTGTCGGTTCTAGAATGGCCTTGGCAATCGATTTTCACGGATTTCATTTCAGGTTTCCCGAATGTTGATGGGTTCAAGTCCATTATGGTGGTGTGGACAGGTTCTCAAAATATTCACTCTTTATTCCAGCTCTGCATGAGTGTACAACGGACGTTGCTGCTTGACAATTCTTTAAGAATGTGGTGAAATACTTTGGAATACCCAAGGATATTGTGAGTGATCGGGATTCTCGATTTGCAAGCAAATTCTGGAACATGTTGTTCAACATGATGGGGTCTAAATTGAAGTTTCCAACTGCATTGCTGGAGGAATACCTTGCTTGATATAACTCAATTTTGCTACAATTTACATCAATCTTCTGCTATGGGGATGTGTCCGGTCGAGTTAACTATACAACATATGCCCAAGACGCCTCTTAAGAATGTAAAAGAACGGGGATGCAGTGTATGTCCAGCTGCTTCTCGATTTGTTCAAGACAAACATAAAATGATTGAGCAAGCAAATGACAGTCTTGCGAAGGCTTCCCGACGAATGAAGAAATATGCTAATCAGAATGGAAGGGATGTGGAGTTCCAAGTTGGGGATAAAGTATGTTGAAATTAACTCCCCAGACTTGGAACAAGACCATATATCGTGGGCTGGTTCATAAATATGACGATCCCTTCGAAGTAATCAAGCGTGTTGGAAAGGTAGCATATCGATTGAAGCTACCTGATCGTTTGAAAGTTCATCCTACATTTCACGTGAGCTATCTGAAGCCCTTTAATGAGAGTTTGGTAGGAAAAGATCGTTTGCAGGCCAAGATGGCTCCTCCTATGATTAGAAAACAGTATGATAATGAGGTGGCAAAGATTATGGGTCATCGAACAATTGGAGCAAGTAAGAAGAATAGAAGAAAACACTATCTTATCTTGTGGAAATGTAGCAGCAGGATCGATGGAACCTATGAAAAGGATGTCGATTTGTGGCAGTTTGAGAACAAGGTGAATGAACATCTTGATTCTCTTCCGACGAGGACATCAGACTCTTCCGATGGAAAGGGTTTGTCAGCCCCTTAAAGGTTGACATACACAATGACATGAGCATGCCTTGCACTCATTCCGGGATTTTGCGAATAGGTGTGTTGATGGTGCACATTTCGAATTTTCAGAGCAAGGAAAATGTGAGCTTCAATTTGGCAGGTGTCAAAGTGTTGCTGATTGGTAAGGCATGTGTTGATCCAATTTGCTGTTAATGGGCTTTAGTTTACAAATTTGGGTGTCCAAATTGGGCACATGTTTGACACATGTATTGGGCAGTCTTCGTTATCCATACAGGTGGAAAGTATGGGTGGTTGCTAGGAATGGTTGTCGGAATCAGTTTCTGGCAGTTCTAAGCCAACTTGGTTGGTTTATCCCTTTTGCAATTAAGGGTGTTAACTGCATACGAATTTTGGTCTATAAATTGGGAAGGCTAAACTGATAAGGGATAGTGTGTGTTGTGTTCCGTCAGTATTCCTTCCTTGTATTATTGTGGAGTAATAAACGTGTTGGATTTACCCGTAAATCAATGTGGTCCTTTACATTGTTATCTTTATTTTTCGTGTGTTCATTGTGTGAATTCACGGGTTGACTGAGTAAAACCTTAGTACCATCATAGGTGAAAATTTAGCTAAGTATTTTTACTAAGAATTCGTCCATGTGATATTAATCCGATATCATCTCCGTTTTCACAACAAAATGGTATCAAATCTTTTGATTTTGAAATTCTTAGAAAGATCAAGATTTTGATCAAGTTAGCTCAACTTGATCTTTCGTGATGGCAACAATGAAATATGATATTCCGCTATTGGATCGCAATACAAGATTCACTTTGTGGCAAGTAAAGATGCGAGCAGTATTCTCTCAGATTGATTTAGACTACACGTTGTTACGATTTGACAAAATGCCAACAACTTGGACTTTGAAGGAAAAACAAAAGAGGGATCGAAAGGTCCTATCGTAAATACATCTTCATCTTTCAAATAATATTTTTCAGGACGTTTTGAAAGAGAGGTCAGTTGCTGCATTATGGTTAAAATTGGAGCAATTATGCATGACGAAGAGTCTTACTAGTAAATTATATTTGAAGCAACGTCTATATTCTTATGTATGACATAAGGTACATCTCTTAAGGATCATCTAACTGCTTTTAAGGAAATTGTTGCTAATTTGGAGACCTTGGAGGTTAAATATAATAAAGAAGATTTGTGATTGATTTTACTGTATTCGTTGCCCACTTCATACATATCTTTTAGATACATGATTTTATATAGTCATAATATTCTTAGCATCGAAGAAGTCTATGATACTCTATATTCAAAGAAGAAGATAAAGCATATTGTAGCATCTGAGGGTCATATAGATGACTTCATTGTTGATGGTGATCGTTCAAGAAGCAAGTAAAAATCTAACTTCAAATTTTATAATTATTGCAAGAAAAATGGGCACTTGATAAACGATTATTGTAAGTTTCATAATAAATCAAAATTGATTGTAAATCAACAAGTAAAAACTTCAGGGAAAGCAAGTTTTGCAAAAAAATCCTAACAGTGATAGAGAGCTTTTACATATATCTGTTTACAGCTCCAAGCCTGATGAGACTTGAATTTTTGATACAGGTTACACTTTTCATATGACTCCTAATTGGGATTTATTTTCAACGTATGAAGAAGTTTTAAAATGTGTTGTGATGACTGATAAAAATACACCTTGTCCGATAGCTAGTATCAGTCAGATCAGAATAAAGATGTTTGATAGGAGGTTAGAACACTTGATGTGGTGAGACATGTTTCAGATCTGAAGCGAAATCTTATCTCCTTAAGCAATCTTGATTCAAAAGGGTATAAGAATACTGTTGAAGGTGAAGTCTTGAAAGTTAGTAAAGAAGCCCGTATTTTGATAAAGGGACATAGAAAATCCCATTTATATATCTTGTCATGTTATACGGAATCTTTGAGCAATCAACATATTTTAAGAACTCGTGTGGAATTGGAGTTTGATTCTATACGGTTGAGTCTAATTTGGAGTTTTCTTTAAATAATACATATCAATTTAATTTAGAAGTTATGGGTAAATCGGTCTTGCTACCATCATCGGTGGTGTCATTGTATTCGGTTACTAATAACATACCCATTTTTTGCCATAAGGTTCCATATAGGTACAATTCTGCTGATTTAGTTGATAGTTTGAATATGGCTAAGAGTGATGATTATAGCCAATATACTTCTTTTGATATATTCAGTTGTGATTCTGTTACAGGGCTTGTCTTTGTTTGTAGAATTGTAGATGCGTGAGCAAACACACGCCCAGAATCGGAATTCACAGCATGCTAGTTAGGGTATGGGAATATTAATGAGATTTTCTGTATTTTGGAGCTCCGACGGTACTCCTAATTAGGGGTGGATCGAGCACCTGGCCAGCCCCCACGACCATCCGTACTGGATCCGTTGGGAGCTTGAGTGAAGAAGCTGCCGCTGTCCGCCGTCCGTCGGAAAATGGAGAAGATGCCAGTGAATTTTTTTATTTTTTTTTCCCTTTGTTATTGTTTGGCAGTTTGGGCCTTTTTAAAAAAATAAATAAATAAATAAGGCCCAAATGAATGGGACCAATCAATTAGCCAAAACCATTAGCCACAAGTCCACACCCAATTCCAAAATTGAAAATGGCAAGAGGAGAGGGATACTGGGAGATGACAACTTCGAGTCTGCTAGGCTACGGACCTGCTGGCTGCTACCTTCGACGGTCGATTGACGAGACGGTGGTGGTCTGGTGGTGGACGGTGGACACCTGAACTGACTCGATGTCGATAAACGGTAAACAGTTTCCACTTTCCGTTCGGTTTCTACTTCTTTATTTCTCTGTTTTTTTATTTGTGATTTATGTATTATGAGAAATGAGAATTTATGATGTATTATTATCTGATAGACTGAAACTATGAGTTTATGAGTTATAATTTTGATTTGTGAATTGTGAATTTAGGTTTTTAGAAAATTATGGATAAGTGAAGAAAAATTAATGGAGAAGATGTTGAGCTTAATTAAACCATGTGTAGACTTTTTTTGGGGATTGAATAGTTGGCTGCAGTTGATGGCCTTTGTGAGTTGGTTTCCAAGGTGTTTGGGGTTTTAGATCTTGTCCGCACTTACTATGTGAATCTATCAGTTTTTACCTCTATTCCTGATTTTTGGGGCATTGGCCAGTTGTTTCCTATTATTCCAATACACAGGCTCGATGAGTGTCCTGCAGTGAGGGGGATTTTGATGGACTTAACGTGTGATAGTGATGGGAAGATCGACAAATTCATAGGAGGTGAAACTAGCCTGCCTCTGCATGAGTTGGAAGGAAATGGTTGTATTAATGGTGATGGTGGGAGCTATTATTTGGGGATGTTCTTGGGTGGGGCTTATGAGGAGGCATTCTGGAAAGTTCGTACCTTGTTTAGTGGTCCAAGTGTGGTGCGAGTCTCTCAATGCAATGGTCCATACAGCTTCGCCGTGACTCAAGGTCAACGTCCGCCCGGGCTGAGTTTCAATGCTGGGTTAATGTAGTAACCAACCATATTGCATCCACTATAAGCGTACCATACACCAGATCAAAAGGTTGACAGACTTGAATTTTTCAATAGAAGCAAGCACTCCATTAGCTATCTCGTTTACTATATATTGGTTCTTAATTTCCCATCTTAATGTGAGGTAGAGATAAGGTTATCTCCCCTGATAAATAACAAAAGCAAAAAATAGAGTGTTTGTAAAATGGATTTGTACCTAGGTATGTAGGATAGTTTTGTGGGATGGGCATTTTTAGCTTCAGAAATTTAGCTTCATAAGGCCCCTAATTCGCAGAATCACTGTCTTGAGCTCCTCCTGATTAACCCTCAGTAAATGCTTACTCTCAAGCATCTTAATCTCGTAAACGTACTTATCAATTACCTTCAGCACGACACCATTTTGCTTATAGTACCCTTTTTTCGCTAAGGCTTTACTCATAATTCTCACAATAATCCCCTTCCACAACCAATAATCTTTCATGTTATTCCTCTCTTGCGCCTTCTCTTGTTCTCTCATCAATTCATCCAACACTAATGCTCTACCCCCATTTTTTCTAGATATTTGGTCTTTCCCCTTTTGTTTTCCATTCTTGTTATCATTGTCCCCTTCATCAAACACCAGTCTAGAACTCTCCCGGTCTTTCTTCTCCTCATCCGCCATGTTTGTCTTAGTCCTCTTATTCTGCGTCTTCTCCTTAAAAAGTGTCTCGGAATCTCGGTCTATATAAGCAATAAACTACCCTTTTGGGATCTTCGTCAACTTTAAATTTGCCAGTCCTAACAAATACTTGACAAACTTGGTAAGCGTAGCCCACTAGGTAGAATTCATGTGAACATGATGGAAGTTAGCGATATATTCATTATATACAACAGTGGCAGCTATGTAGTTGAATCAGTGGCTAGTCTTTTTGTGTTCAAGAAAGGAGAACTCGAACTCCTTGGAATATCCATCGACGATTTAGGTGGGGTTTTGGCCGAAGACTTCCATCTAGTGCATGTGGGATTCGCTCATACAATGGCACTTGAACTCGTTCTCTTCCCGGCACTATTTCTGGCACATCTTGCAATACCATCGCAACTTCTGTAAACCCTTGGCTTTAATTCTGTTGACAATTGCTTTTGGGGTGAGGAACTCATTTTTCCCTATCGCTGATTTGAGAAGCAAACCAGAAATCAAAAGCTAAATTCAACGGATTTATCAAAAGCTGAATTTAGGAAAGTGTGTAATGCACGAATTGTCCTTGTCTATTTGGTGAAAATTATTAATTTTTTTCGGGTCAATTAATGATTTTGGTAGTCAAATAGATGGAAAAAGTCAATCTAGAGTGGAGTTACGATTTTTTTTTAAAAAGTTTGATACCTCAAGTGACACAAATGAAATGTTTGGGCAAATTTTGTAACTAAATTAAAGGTTTGGTTCATTGGCTGCAATTTTTTCCATTTTTTTATAGAGAAATATGTTTGTGTTTTTCATTGAAGAGTTCAAATTTATTCTTTGCAGTGAAATTTGTCTCCAGATGAAAAAAATTTCTTCGTAATTTTGTTCGTTGCGGTATAATTCGTGTTAAAGTAGAGATTATTAAAATTTAGGTGTGACCCTAATTTTTTATTGATGATAATTTTAGAATTCTAATTAAAATGCACATTAAGAAAATTCTATTTGAAACAATCTTGTGGAATCCTATTTAAGCTTACTTGGCGAATTCTAGTTGAAGTTCTACTTGAAAGTCCAATTGAGAATTGAAATTCATGTTGGATTTGAAGAAAACTATAGGATAAAGAAAATCAAGTTTTTGAAGTAAATAACCCGGGAGTGGGTACCACGGTCCACAAAGTTTTGCCTGACGCTGGGGTGTCGGCGGCGCCACCTGACTGTTTTGTCCTTCGTAATTCTTTTGTTCTCTATTCCATTTTGGACTCCATTTTTGCATTCTACTTCAACAACAACTCTACTATTAAGGTTTGAATGTCTCATATTTGTAACCTATTTATAGTCGGCTCTTCCTTATAATTTAGTAGAAGTTATAACCATTGTAAACACAAATTTTTGTATTATTTCTCTATATTATAATAAAATCTCAATTCTCTTTAACTTATTTTGTTCTTTTGTTTTTGTGATCAATTACTTCATATTGTGGCTTTAACCTCTTATTTTTCTCTAACAATTGGGTATTTGATTAATCTCGTATCATCTCCGCTTTTCACAACATTTTTAATCATATACTCTCATAAATTAACTATTATGTTATGCCTCGCCACTGATACTCCCTCGTGAAGCCCATGTGGCATCCCACGAGGAGTGCAACTGGCACTCTGAAACCCTTTCACTAAAGCGATGGCATGTATGGACCCACCGAAGCCCTTTTGCCGAAGCGGTGATGCTCAATGAGGCTAAATTCGAAGTGCTATTACAAAAAGTGACGACTCGCCTCCTTTGAAGGTCCTAAATTGATAAAATCTTGCTCAAATGATTGATGTGACCCTTGTAATAGGTAATATGTCGATGTCTTGTTAACATAAGTAATAGGGTGTCTGTCCATTTTTAAAAGCATTAAATGTTCCACGGCTAGTAGGGTCAAAATTGACACCTAAGATAAGATGTTTCGGTTAAGGAAATAATGCAATGTGTCTCCTCATCCAAATGACACCATTTCACATGTAACACTATAAATATTTCCCCTAGTGTCATTTGAGGGTAATGCAAATACATTTACTGTAAGTTATATATTATCTCTTATTAAGATAAATCTTTTGTTGATGAAGTTAGATGTTTGATCTTGGTTTTTAGTTTTGTTGATTGTTTGTTGAAGCTGTGATGCTCAATGAGGCTAAATCCGAAGTCCCACCACAATAAATGATGAATCGCCTCCTTTGAAGATCTTAAATTGATAAAATCTTGTTCGAATGATTGATGTGACCTTTGTAATAAGTAATATGTCGAAATCTTGTCAATATAGGTAGTAGGGTGGCTGCTCATTTTTAAGAGTGTTAAATGCGCCATGGGCTAGTATAGTCAAAATTGACACCTAGGATAAGATGCTTCGGTTAAGTAAATGAGGCCACGTGTTTCCTCATCCAATGGACATCATTTCACATGTTACACTATAAATATTCCCCCTAATGTTATTTGAGGGTAATGCAAATACATCTACAGTAAGCTATATATTATCTTCTCTTGAGTTAAATCTTTTGTTCATGAAGTTATATGTTTGATGTTAACTTTTAGTTTAGTTTTTGTTGATTGTTTGCCGAAGCGGTGATACTCAATGAGGTTAAATCCGAAGTCCTACCACAATAAGTTATACCTGCCTCTTTTGAAGATCCTAAATTGATAAAATTTTGTTCGAATGATTGATGTGACCCCTATAATGAGTAATATGTTGAAATCTTGCCAACATAGGTGGTAGGGTAATTGCTAATTTTCAAGAGTATTAAATGCGCCACATGCTAGCAGGGTCAAAATTGACACTTAGGATAAAATGTTTCGGTTAAGGAGATGAGGCAACGTGTCCCCTCTTCCAATGGACACTATTTTACATGTAACACTATAGATATTCCCCCTAGTGTCATTTGAAGGCAATGCAAATACATCTATTGTAAGCTATATATTACTACCTCTTGAGTTAAATCTTTTGTCGATAAAGTTAGATGTTTGATCTTGACTTTTAGTTTAGTTTTTGATAATTGTTCTTTATCATGCGATTCTACTCATATATATTGATGGCGCCCAAATATTTATGTCTCGTGCTATAGAGTTTCTCCCACATTCAAACTCGAAATATCGTCTACAAGTAAGCAGTCCAAACGTGGTGAAATTAGCTTGCGTGGATGCGAGTGGACCCGATATTTGTTGTATACGTCAACGGTACAAAAAACGAAGTCAGCATATTCAAAACTCTTTCCAAAAAAAAAAAAATTAAAAAAAAATTATGGTTGTCAAACACTAAAAACTTGTTAAATTGATAAATATAATTAATAAATTTCCTCCACTTTTATCGATGGAGGGATCAGTAGTCTCCCTGGTTCCACTAGAATTCGTACAAAAAAAAATATTAATTCCTAACTCGACCACACCTTTTAATGGCATCTCATCACATATTTTTTGTATCAACTAATCACTAAAATTATCCAAAAATGATATGATAATTGACATGGATTTGGACTCTAAAGCATCTTCAAGACATCATAATATAGAACGTATATAAATTGGATTAATAATATAAAATCCTGTTAAAAACGTTTTTACGTGCAATATATTCCATACCTATTGAAAATCACAGAAAATCTCTTGTTTGGAAAATCTCATATTGTCCAATTTCATTAGTTTAACCATTAAAAATAATAAAAATTGTCAAAATTAGAAATGAATAATTGCAGTTGTGGTTCCAAACTTTTT